AATTCAGATATCTCTTCAAAATCATCCCTCTAAGGACTATTCAATATCATCTTTCCATTATAGTTTTTGATATCTAAACATATAATACCAGAATTAATTAAGGCGTACATTCCTCTGAAAGCAATATATTTTCTGTACTCTATCATCAACTATTACCATGTTTACCTTCCCTGTTTAAGTAATGAGCCCTGAACTGTGAAAGTCTGATGTACGAGTCCTTAGTCCTTCCTGAATAAATGATAAAGAACACAATTTTCTCAATTGATGCTCTACCCCCTAAAGGTGGGTAGATAAAGTTAGTGTTAGTAAGTTCTCATCCATAATAATTATCATATTTTACATTTCTAAGAGGCTAGAATATCAAGTTATCTGTACCATTAATATTTCATACCAAATTCCAAAAGAAAGAAAAAACAATTAATGGGAACCGTCATCATCTAATCTGAGTACCCTTGATATGAGATCTAGATTTTTTTTCTTTTTTTCTGGTTGGTATCATCATAAAGGTGTTATATCTCTAGTTTGGTATCATTCAGCATATAGATAACTGAAACAAATAATAAATTCATAAATTTTCTTGTTTGGCTCACCATACTGTGATCATGATGAAAGACCAAAGTTGGAGAAAAAATTCAGTGACATCATTCATCTCTTTTCTAGAAGTTGTATCTATGATTTTTTATATTCCTTTTCAGTTTCAAAAGTTGAGTTTGAATTTTCAAGAAAAGAAAAATTCTGTTTTCTTTTTTTATTCAGAAAATATACAAAAAAATAAAATTTTCTCAGTACCAAAAATAATATATTTTCTACTCTACAAAATGCAACATAAATGAAGAAAACCATACAAGTATTTACATAATAAGTAAAAAAAACAAAAATGAGAAATGGCAGTTTGAATATTTACATCATTTAGTGACATTGTGATCAAACATAATAGTGCTCAACAGACATGAATCACTGTAGTCACAGACATTAGGTGAGTCAGCACACCGAGTGATGTGTATTCACTTGCTCTATGCACAGGAGGGTACCACAAAAGGCCACTGTGTCTTATCACTGTATGCTTCAAGAAATTGCTTAATGCAAATCAGTTCTTACCACAATTTTCTTATACTAGAATCTTCACAATTGTAAGTCTTAATGTAGGACAGTCAGTTTGAAAAATGCGATGTTCTTATCCTCTTGCATTATTTTGGTATACCAGATGATTTTTCTCAGTATTATTCCTTAGTAGAGGATTTTGAGCTTCAAAGAGTTGATTCCACAATTTCTCTATGCATACAACCGTTAACTTTATATCATTTCCCTTTTTAGGGGGGGGGGAAGAAAATATTGGACAAATAATTTGTGTGGGTCTCCTTAACACAATTATGGAAAAGATTAAAAAATTAAAAACACAGAACAGCTATGGAGAAATCGTGGTAGATGATTCATATTAGATATATGCGAAGAAGTTATTTTGAAACTTTTACACATAGATAGCTCCACCAGTACGTATTTATTTTATCTATTGAAAATTTTCTGCCACATAACCATCTAAGGTCATTATTGGCATATACAAAATAAAGCAATAGCACAAGATTTGGGGGTGTAGCCCCCAGGCAATGAAAGTTTTGTGGCAAAAAGATTTTTTTTAATGAGTTAACAATGAGGACAAAATATGAAAGATGTCAAAGGTTGTTGAGCACTTTATGTTAGCATGATACTGAAAAGGGTAAAAAGGGAATAGCAAACAGAGTATGAAGGCCGTTCAGGACTGAGGCAAAGCTAGTCTTTCATAACTTTCAGCACGGCTTTCACACTTTAGGATGTGGAAACAAAGGAATGAAGAAGAGAAGGAAAAGGAGAGGTGGAAAAGAAAAGACCATGCAATACTAGTTGAGGCTAGGGCTGATGTACACGGCATGAGCGATCCCTCAGATGAGGTCTCAGTCCTCATCTCCTAAGCACCCCCATAACAAAAACAGTACGTAATCACCAATGAGCCAATTACTAATACTACATACCTCACCTGTTTACCCTTTTCCTTGATCTAATAATCATTATGTCCATAATGATAATAACAGTATCAAGAAATTAAGTGAGGTCACAAGATCTACAAACTTACTCCTTGGTGACTAAGCACTTGTGGAACAATCTATGTGTAGAGACATTTCACAAAACAGTACTATAATGAACACCACATTTTTCCAGCAGCACATGGTTAATCATCTGGCAAACTAGAAAAAACATGGAAAAAATATATTGGAAAATCTAGAATGACTGAAGAAGGAGGTTGTTATGGGCAGAGAGTTGGATGTGGGCAAAGGGAAGAGAAGGTGGTGTAGAGATAGGTAGCATTTGGGGAGGAGGCCAATAAGGATGAAGAGTAATAATATGGGAGGTGGGGGATGAAAATGAAGATTGTCCGGGAGGAGGAGATGCAGTGGAGGTTGTTGGGGGAGGTAGGTATGTATTCTGAAGGATGATTAATGACCTGGGTCGAAGTTTCGGAATGCAG